TATCTATTTGGAGTCCTCTCCCCCAGCCACTTCCCACCACCAGGGTGAGCAGGAAGAGGAAGAGGAAGGCCAGAGCCCACAGCCCACAGCAAAGAGTTTCATAATCTTGAATGCAGGGGTAATGTAGGGAGAGAAGAAAAAAGAGAAAGGAAAAAAATACAAATCCTATATTACATACAAGAGGATAGGTAGGAGAGGAAAGAAATGGGCCTTCAGAAGTGAAGCTGAGGCCTGGGGCAGGCTGCGGGGGCGCAGCAGGACCCTCCGCTCCACGTGCTTTTGTGTTGTAGCTGTTTCCTTAGGTGCCAGGCTGAGAGGCCCTCTCGGCAGGTAGGGGGGCCAAGGAGGTGAAGAGGGCCAGGGCCTCAGTTGGCCCCCCAGCTGTAGCTGTTGTAGGCAGACTTGCTGCTCTGGGGCTTCTGCGGGATGGAGCTGGTCTGGCTACGTTGCCCGCTGCCCGTCTGCAGGGGAAGGGATATTGGGGTGGGGGGAGGACAGGGAGGAGAAAGGAGGCCAATTAGCAGGGACCTTTTGGTGGGAAGGCCTGGGAACTGTCATGTTCCTCCATTTCTCCTCCTGCCAAAAGATCATTCAAAGGCTACACTCTCCCTTAAGCCCTTAATCCAAAGAAGTTGTTGTCTGCATAATCGGTGAAACCCTTGGAAGTTCTAGTCCCTCTCCGGTCAGCAATAGCACAATTCTGATTTCAAGACAAGAAGAAAATGCAGAGGGCAAGATGCCTTCAGAACTCATTTAAGGGACTAAGTCAGTTTCTGCTCATTCTCCATCTTACCCCTCCCATCTCACCAAAAAGGCCACTCATCTGGAAAAAGATTTCTCAGATGAGTGATCCAAGAGCTGCTTTAACTGATTTTGATCTGTGTGACTCCTTATTTGCACTGCCTTAGAAATAAGGCAGTTGGAAACAAGGGAGCACAGCATTCTGCTGTGGAGATAGGGCACTAACAGAATGGGCTCCACAACACCCCTTCCGCCACCCCACCCCCATCACATCAATGGACCCCTATATACTAAGCAGGGTAGTGCGGGGAGACTTGTCTACGGCCTCCAAGATTCAGATGCTTTCCCAAGAACCCTATCCACTCTAATAGCCAAGTGCCATCTACAATTGGGAAGAGAGAAAAGGAGAGGAGGAGAAGGGAAGGGGAGGCCGGAGAGCCCAGCAAGATGTGTGAGTGTGTCTATGTGTGTCTGTGTATCCCGATTTGTGGCCGCGCAATCTTTCTTCTCCTTGATTTCCCCAGGGCTGTGGCAAGTGGGGTTTGGGACTGGCAGGGGGTAGGTACAATTATATCATTCAGAGAGTTTCATTACCTGCTCCTCCTGCTGGCGCTGGCAACAGAGAATCATCTGCAAATATGGTAGCTGAGGCAGAACCAGGATATATGGAAAATAAAGGGACAAACTTTGACAATAGAAATCCATGGTTAGAAGGGAAAGCTATAGTGGCAGGATTGGGGAGGGGTAGGGCATGGTCCAGGGCTACTGGGAAAATATAGGGGACAAAGTGTGCCACAGTGGGGAGGGGACTCAAACTCCCTCCAGATACCTATCGAACTAAGCAAAGAGCTCCCCAACCTGGCCCCCTCTCTGTCAACTCCCTTGCCGGCCGCTTGTGTCATGTACGCTTGTGTCTGTGTGTGTTGTGTGCCCATGGCCGGCGCTGGGGATAGATGGGGAAAGGGAAGGGAAGAGGGAAGGGGGAGGCAGCTTTAAGGAGTGGTAGGGAAAAGGATCAGTGGGAGAAGAAAGACAAGAGGGGAATAGTGTGTTACCTGGCCATCCTGCTGCAGGTGGTGATGGAGGATCTGGGAGTGTGGCTGCTGATGGGGGGTCAGGATGTGCATAAAAGGGGCTGGCGGATAGGCAGCAGCTGTGGCCGGATTGATAGGCCCTCCACTCCCCAGGGCTGAAGGCAAGTTGAAGGAGGCAGCAGGAGTTCCAGAATGAAAACCTTGTTTCTCAAAGGACTGCTGTTCAGGGATGGGGAAAAAGCACAATGGCATCAGCAGAGCCATTCCTGACTACTACTGATTCCCTATCCTCTAACACTTCATCCTTCATTCTTGACAATTCATCGAACTAGACTGAAAACTCCAAGACAGCAAGATCCTTACTTCCACTGTCTTTTATTTTTGCCTATCTTGTAGAGTGTTAACTACAGGTTAAAAATGCCAATGACACTTGTTGAATTTAGGACTGTCATGTGTAAAGGTAGATAGCATTCAGAGCTACTTTTGAGTTCTTAGAAGAAATGGTGAAGTAGTTTGAAAATTCTTGGGTACTGACGGCCTTAAAAATGGACATCTCCCCAAAATCCTTAGTAAATTATAGTAAACTCTTGATACTGAGAGTTGGCTACTCCTCATCTTTATCTGTCATTTCTACTCTTCCATTTCATTCTGAAGAAGCAGGGGGGAACAGAAATGATAAACCTTTAGAGAAGGGAGATTTTTTTTTTTAAGATCAAATGCCCTGATCCAAGAATTTGGGTCTCTTGACACCTCTCTCAAGGCCTACTTTGCACCATTATTACGACAGCCTCTTTCTCTACCTCTGCTGAGTGAGCTAAGGACCTACCTGAGTTTTGGAGTACACAGAACCCGAAATATCTGGCACGCCTGTATTACTGGAGGTGACTGATACACCTGAGAAAGGAAGAAATAGATAGGAGGATTAACATAGCTGACTGTCCTTTTCCCCTGGTTCCTCAAGTCAGGGGAGGTGGGAAGTAGGTTGATAGGGGAGGTCAAGGTAATGCTATCTGAGGCTCTTCCAACTCAATCACTGCATGGGAAGCTTCAGTCCAGTCACAATAAGGGCCCATGATACAAAGGCTCCCTAAGAATTAGCTTGGCTTGTTTCTGAGTATGGGTAAGAGGTGACAGTCCAGCTTCCAGTGAAGCCTACATCCAAACCAGAGTTAACACAAACAATCTCCAGGACCCTCTGTCCCAAATTCCAACAGTAATTCAATAATTTTTACAAGTTAATTTAGAATCATTTCACCCTTCCACCTTCCCACCCCAATTATGTCTACTTCAATAGGCACCAAACCTCTATCCAAGTACCAAGGGAACTNTTTTTACAAGTTAATTTAGAATCATTTCACCCTTCCACCTTCCCACCCCAATTATGTCTACCTCAATAGGCACCAAACCTCTATCCAAGTACCAAGGGAACTCCTGGGCTCCGGAGCTGTACGTCAAGGTGAATGCCAAAACAAAAGAGGCCAACTCAGGTCTATAGCCAGTGTCCTTTACCTGACCTCTATGCTCACTCAGAAGTGGTCAGTTTCAATTTACTCACACCAGTTTTCCCAGAGGTGTCTGCTAGAGGTATAAATGGGCTGGCATACAGATCACCATGTAGGCAATAATGCATAGAAGCCACTGTCCACAAGGAATAGAGAATTCAAATGCCATTTACATAGTCCCATCATCTTAGTTGCCAGAGTTTTAAGTGAGATATCCTGTCTCATATCTTCCTGACAGGAAGTCTCTCCTACTGCTACAGTTCCAGGGTAACCAGAGAGGGATACAAGCCATTTTCCACAGTAATCAAATCACAACTGAAGATCCCTCCACCTATTATCCTTATGCATTATTCATATCCTATCCCTTAACACTGGAGGTGCTCATTCCAGACCTAGAATCCAAGTCCTTCTTTATATTCAAGCCTACATTCAGCTTCTAGTCATCTCAAAACAGAGACTGTATACCCAACTGAGGCCTTCTCAATAGAGAAAGGGACATCCTAGCCAGGAAAATCCCTCCCCCATACAAGTCCTGACCAGCTCAGGAAGCTCCCAACTGACAATAAATATTTCCCTACTCCCAGGGTAGCCTCCACTCTATATCTTAAGGCACCACAGATAGGTAAGAGGGAAAAAGACAAAGAATACTGTCAGTTATTTGTTTTCTTTAAGCCCTAGATGTTTCTCTTAGCTAAATTTGTAATGGAAGCAAAATTTCTGATTCCTAAGTATTAGGGTAGGAACCTAGTTAGAAGGACTAAACCTAAGAGGAAGTGTGCAGGAGGGTAGGATTAATGCTAGATGGGATAAGAGTTAATTTTAGAAGGCAAACCCAAAGGCAACACAGGTTCACCTTTATTGCTAGAGATAGTTAGCTAATACTGCTGGGGGTCCCTTGGGAAACTGGGAATCACTGACAACAGAATGAAGGGCTAGGCTTTCCATTTGTGGGTGGAGAGAAATGTGGGTCCTCTGTGACACCCTGTCTAGCTCTGATCAGGAGCCACTGGGAATAAGTTCCCATTCCCACAATAAATATCTTTTTGGAGAGAGGGGGAGGCAAAAAGAGAGAAAAAGGAAAACCTTCAGTCTCATAGCTATGAAGTAGGGAAAGAAATAAAGGTTAACAACTAGAGGGGTCTTCACCCCAACTAAGGGACTAGGCAAGATCCTCTCAAGATTATAATGCCCTCCTCCCCAAAGGAACAGTTATAATCACATCAACACAGTGTGAAACGTTGTAACAGGAGAAACAGTAAGAACACATCTCCCCTAGTATGGTGAACCTCAAGCACCTATGACTGGGAAAAGTTGATCAGATCTCTATATCATTTAAGGGTTCCAATATCTGAAAAAGATCCAAGGAGAGGCAAACAGCTGGATTTCTAGTTAGCCAGGACAAAAAATTGGGGAGGATAGACTGTTGAATGAATTTGACACCCTCCCTCCCAAAGAAGGGTCTAGCTCCCCCAAAATGACTCCATAAAAAGAAGGCTGATTGGTGTGCAAGCTGGATTGGGAAGGGAGCCAAGAAGACACTGACAAAACCTTACCCACAGAACCTTGGTTACATCCAGAAATCCATGAGGACCACTAAAGAGTCACATGTGCTTGAAGGAAAAGAGGTACAATGCCCTACCTCTGATTAGAGAGGATTCATAAAGGGACCAAAACATACATTAGGTGGTTATTAATGACCAGGTCATATCTGAGTCAGCCCCTTGGTCTTCAAGAGGCAGGAACAGCAGTTAAGCTACTGAAAACTTTTCCCAAGCTCTGGATCCCCAGTGCCAATTCTTCTACCTCTCTTAACATGGGTACCTCAATGCTACTCCAAATGCCTTGCCTTAGAGTAGAAACAAAGAGAGGAATGAATGGAAAGGTGAATAGAGATTAAGCTTGGGAAGTCAGGAGTTCATTACAAATTTAGCTTTTCTCAATAACCAATAGGCTGGGACCTGAGACTACTACCCTCTTCCTGAGAAGGCCAGTGTACCAAGAAGTTAACCAGTGGCTTCTCTGGCTGTGCTGCGGTTTGATTGACAAGATCATCCTTCCACCCTTCCATCCCCCATATGCCACAGCACAATATTAGCTCCTGTTGTCCAGAGAGACATGCACGGAAAGAACGCCAGAGTTAGCTAAAGAAATACCACAGTTTATTGAAGACTACAAATATTTGTTACAAGTTGAAACTACATGCCTTCCAGAAATCAAAAGCAACAGTGGGTGTGTGCATTGCGGCTTCAGAGGCGCTGCACCGCTTGTACTCGAAATGGTTAAGACGGGGTCAGACACACCGAGAGGGGGGAGGGGGGCAGGTTCAAAAGCCCAGAAGGTATCCACCAACTCATTCCCCCAAGCCACGTAGGCCTTGGCCTCAGCTCAGCAGGCTTTCCTCAGTGGTCTGGTTTCTGAAACAAGACTTCAGTGCAAATTCACACACACACACAAAACACAGCCCCCAGCCATGGGCCAAATTAGCTCTCAGCCGTCCAGAAATGCTTGTAAGGGGGTGGATATTTTCTTCCTAAAAGGAATCAGATACATAAAAATAAATGAATTTAAGAGGTTGATGAGGGAGGGGGAATGACCAGAATCCCCTATGGGGTTGGGGGAATGGGGCTTCTAAAATGAATCACATCAGGTCTCTAAAAATCTTGGGCAAGGGAAGGCAGGAAGGAGAAGGGGAGGAATGCAATGCTGCCCCCACTCACCCTTGGTTTTTCTGTAATCAGACAGGACCACAAAACCCCATGTTATCTTGTTCTCTCAGATTTCTGACCCTGGCCCAGCCAGTATCTAAAGCTAATGTTTTGGTGATAGGGATGAGGTCACTCCAAGGAGGGGGTTTATAACCCTCTTCACAAGTCACACTTCTGAGGTGTTTGGAATGGAGACTCTCTGCTCAATGAAAGGGCATAGCTGGGCTTAGAACCTGGCACGATGGGGCTTCCCAGAAACACTCAGCCCAAATCCACAACACTAATCCAACTCACACATTACAGCTTCATGCCTCCACCCCACTAGCAGCTCCTGAAGTACCCACGTGCCCCATTCCCTATTATTAAAAAATCTGGGATAGTTTACCCACCTGGTTCCCACAGAGAAGGGGGGAAGCACAAAAGCTGCTGCCTCCAGATTATTCTGGAGCTGAGACTGAGCTGAAGGCTCTAAAGGACTCATAAGGAGGCAAACCCCACTCCCACCAATGCAACATTCTCCTTCCCATACACAACTGAACCTGCAAAGCCGCTGAAAAGGAAGAATAAAACTGAATGGTCCTCCCCCTTGACTCAGAATCTCTGAGGGAGTTAGAAAAATCAGTCAGGTGCCAGGCAGAATGTTTTCTACCCCAACATCTACTTTAGGGACCATCACCACTTCCCTGTAATCTGCCTTCTTCATGGTTGAGCTCAAAACATGAGTTGTTAAAGAGCTGTCTTATCAGCAGAGACATGAAACCAGGCTTGTGCAAAGAGAACGGTCATACAACTGAAAGAACCACTGAAGATACAACTCTCCTAGCCCACTCTCCCAATTACTTCTCCATGTATTACTATTTCACCCTCCACCCCTAAACTTCACTCATGTTCCCTTATCTGAGGAAGAGAAACCACAAGAAAAACCTAGGCACATAAAGAGAACAGCACTGAGCCAGTCACAGTCTCCCAAGGACATATTCAATCCTAGGTACAATGAATCTATCTATCCCCTTCAAGTTTATTGGTGCCACACATATTGCCACTTGCCTCCACTGGCATCATCTCAACCAAATTTCAGGTCCCTTTGCCCAGCAGCACTGCTCCGCCCCCACTACTGCCAGCCATGCTATCTGGCAGCCAACACATGCCCCGACAATCCCCCAGGTGTGGGTAAGTGGGCACTAGAACACAATGCCAAATTTTCTTGCTGGTGCTGAACAGAGGCTAAAGGCCAACTGCCCAACGCCTAGCACCTCCTCTTCATAGGATTCTCCAACCCTAACTGTGACCCCTCCAAGATTGCCCCCACAGCCAATTCCCCCTGAACATCAAGACATCTGGGATCAAGATGGGCTTACCAGTGTTATATCCATGAGATCCATACCCACTTGGCTGTTGGAAAGGGGTGGCCGATGCGTTCACACTGACATTCACACCATGCTGCTTGGAAGAGGTAGGAGCGACCTGGAAGAGAAAGGGGGTGGGGCCTCAGTGACCAGTGAGGACAGCCCTGACCCTGTCCCATGGTACTAACTCATAGCAGTATATTGGTCAGTTCAATGTGGGAACTGAACTCAGTTAAGGAATGTGGAATGCTCACTTTATTACCAGAATGAAAGTCTTAAGAACCTACCAATGCTGTCAAAAATGGTCAAGTGAAGGTCAATGTGGGGAGGGAAGATCAGGCTATTAACATGTCTGTGGAAAATTTCTAGATGAGAATACACTCCTCATTTATTCTACATAGAGATAAACAACCATTATCTCGCCCCACTTCCCCACCTTCCACACCACCCGAAGGTTTGGGATCAGGAATGCCTTCCCACCTACTGAGAAAGCCAGCAGTACTGGAAGAGTCAGAGTGAGTGAATGCAGATCAGGAAACCTGCCCTCTAGGGAATGATGAAGGTGAGGTACTCACAGGGAATACAGCAGGCCCATACTGGAAGGTGCTGGGGAGGCCCGGGACCCCTGTGTAGTACGGCAGGCTGGTGTAACTGTAGCCAGGAGGCAGCGCCGGGTTCAGGAATGTCTGCTGTGTGGTGTGGTGAGTCTGCGTCTGATTCTGCTGGGGCTGTGCCAGGGTTGTGGCTGGGGCTGGGGACGAGGCATCTCCACGGCCGAATTTTGAGAGGTCACCTATGCCAAGAAAGACCAAGTGTACATGGGCCCCTTCACCTCTCATGCCAATGTGGAATCATATATTTCCTGGGGATACCTTTTCAGAGCTGTAAAAACTCAGTAACAGGTTAAGTAACACGCAGTGTCATATTTTTACTTAGTGGTAGAGCTGTGATGAAAACCCAGGTCCTCTGACTATTTCCCAGAACTACGCATGCTAGGGCTTCTAAAGACTGTGTAAAGGTTTTCCCTGATGATTTCTGGATACCAATGAGTCAGACAGATGCCATTCCTTCTACCTGGAATATTTATCTGCCATACTTTCTCCCTTTCCCAGCTACCAAATTCTATACCTCTCTGATAATCCCAACTGTTCTGAACACACAGCAGGCACTCATAAAACCACAATCAAGTTTAGGAAAATTTCCTGAATGCCTACTACATGGAGGGCGCTTCAGTGTGTGTTGATGGTGACTATGTAATAGTTGGCACACAGGGCAACAGTAAGGGACCCCCAGGATATCTCCCTCAAAATTCCACACGGAGGCAGCTAGGTGGCGCAGTGGATAGAGCACTGGCCCTGGACTCAGGAGGACCTAAGTTCAAATCTGGCCTCAGACACATAACACTTACTAGCTGTGTGACTCTGGGCAAGTCATTTAACCCCCAACTGCCTCACCAAAAAAAAAAAAAAAAAAAAAAATTCTACACAGCTTTCTTCTACTACACTGCTAATCCATGCCCTCTTTCACCACTTTGGAAATGGGTCTCCCTTAGCACTCACTCTCTGGGTATCTGCCTTCAGGTGATGCCAACTAGTCATGTTTCACTGAAGCTAGCTTCCCTTTCCCCTCTAGTGCATACACACAGGTGAAAGAGCTACATCTCTATGAGATGAGGAGAATGAAGGATAGAAGATTCCAGATGGAGGACAGAAGGATAGAAGCTACATTCACACAGCCCTTCACAGCTACAAAGCACATTATAGGTCTTCTCTCTGGATTCTCAGCCCTGTCAGCAGTGGGAAAAGACTCTTCCAGAAAAGGACAACAAAGTTCAAAGAGATTAAGGAACTTTTTCTAGATCACACAGCTAATGATCATTTAGACTCCCAGGCTAGTATACCAAAATAATGACAGATCAGAAAAAACATAAAGACCAAGGAAACTGGATGTCTAATAGGCAACAACACTGTTACCAAAAAAAGGACAAGGAGAAGAAGGAAAGATGAACTCAAGAAACTTAAGATTAGAAGGTGAGGTCACAAGGTAAAGTATGGGTCAGGGTATTTTCTCAGAAAAGCTGATGAAAAAACAGTAGAACCATGGAAAAGCTGGGAAAGTAGCCACAGCAACTAGCCTTTTCCACTAGGAGACAAAATTTAACATCTTATGTTTGTTCCAGCCCCTTCCTGGGGCTGACAAAACACCTCAAGGACAAGTCTCATTAGCTCCAACATCATGTCCAGCCCCATTCCAGTCCTACCAGAGTAAGGATTGCTGGCCAGGCTACCATCCCTCCCGGTCAACGGAGTGGTAGGTGTAGGGAACGGGATGCTGTAGTAATCCTAGAAAACAGAACAAGCAGGCTGAGACTCCATACTTTTGTCCCAATCCCAGTGATCCTCCACAGGGTCGAAACAAGATGTTAGAGTAATGCAATACAACCAGCCATTGATGATGCTGGCCATAGCTCACAGAAGCTCTGTTTCCTCTGGCACATACTGTCCCCCCTGCTTGACTATAGACAGAGTCAGGTAAGGTCTACGGGTGTGCGCATTTAAGTTGCCCAAATACCTACAAGGTTCCTTGGTCCTGATCTATCTCCCAGGCCTGTTGAAGTCGTCTCCTCAAGAGTCACGGCCAAGATTACTCTCTTGAACAAACAGATATGGCTCTCTGGATTTGCCAGGGACAAAGCAAGACACTCCAAGTCCCAGGGAGCTGAGGAATGTCAGGCAGGGGTCCCCAACTTGTCACATAATTTTGATTCTTATTGCATTAAGAAATCATCTCTTCCCACCAACTCCCAGTCTCTCTGAGCACCTTTTTTTGTCATGACTCTACCCCACATACTCACCAAGGGGAATCTTGTCTGAAGCATCTGCAAGTCGTCATAACCATACACTTGTGGCTGAAAAACACAGATGTATCTGTGATGAGGGAAGGTTAGTCACTATGTCCTTCCTATACCATACTCAAATATGCTAAGGACAGGACAAGAAAAAAAAAAAGAGTCAAGAGAAACCAACAGCCAGCTTCTAAAGAGAAATTCCATTCTATCTCCTTACCAAGAAAACTTTACAAGGCCAGAAAAGAACATATATGATTTCTGGGAAAAAACAAAAGGCCCAAAAGGGTAATGTATGCATGATTATACTTTTAATGTAGATCTGGGATGAAAATCTATTCATCAATTTTTATCAACCTTTTTCAAAATCTGGCTTAAAATCTCTCTCCTAAAAAGCCTTGTCAAATAACTATATACTCTATCACTCAGTTACCCCTCAGCTTTTATCTACTGAGTTGGTACTAGGGTTTTTTTTTTTTTGGTTTGTTTGTTTTGGTTTTTTTTTTGTACTTGTAGGAGCTTTAAAAGCACATTAACGTTTTTGAAGTCAGGAAGTTGGAGAGGTGAAGTCTTCTGCCAAGTTTGGAGTCAACAACCCTAGCAAAGAATACTGAAAAATTCAATCCCAAAATCCCAAGTCTTCCCTGAGGCATACTAAAGAGACATGGGGAAGAAAACAACTTTCTCCAGATAAATTGAGAAAGATCTCAAATTTACATTCAAACCACTAAAGAGCCACTCCAGGCATGGATGATGGCATAACTTGACTAGACCTCATTTTTCTTCCTCTTTTATGCTGTAAAACCAAAAAAAAAAAAAAAAAAAATGAACTCCCTTGTTCATATGTGATTCCAACTAGCTTATTCTGGAATATTCTTATTCTAGTACCCACTCGGTAGGCAGAATTATGAAGCAAAAGGGAAGAGAAAAAGAGAGACAACTTTACTCTGCAGAGAGACATCCCCCAAATCCCACTTACCGGGTAGGCATGTAACAGCCCTGGAGCCATGATATATGGATTAGGCAACAACGGTGGGACCCCAGGAGGAAGGTTGGGGGGAGCTTTTCCTGAAAGAGAAAGTGTACTTCTAATATGATAAATGACCATTCCTCTTCCTCCTTACCCTGAAGAGGTACCACCCACCTCCCAAGTAGGGCTACCTGAAGTTGTGGCGACTGAGCTTCTGGTTGAGGCGGTGACGGTAGAGTTACTGCCCAGGCTGAGGCCTAGACTACTGCCACTGTTTAGGCTGGATGAGACGCTGACCACAGGAGGAGGCGCCGAGACTGTGCTGGATGCAGTAGAGAAAGTGCTGGAGGAAGAATGAAGGCTCGCCTCACTTTCAACACTTGTGTGCTACAAACAAACAAAAACAAAACAAAACAAAAAAAACAAGAGATAGGGAGGTAGAAGGGAACAGAAGTTGGTATATTATGTAAGAAGTCCAAGACCCTCCTACTAACCAAGCAATGAACTCATGTAGTCAGAAGAGTTAAGAGATTACATAAGTGCCCCATGCCAATACAGTGGGAAGAGTACAACCCTTCAGCTAGCAGAGGTCTGAGGATCAGTTTCTCAAACACAGAACCATTTTGGCCGAGACCTGTTACTCCAAAAAACAGAGGATGAAACTAACATAACCAATATGGAAACTTCACATAAGGCATGTGAGAAGGGTAAAAAGACTTAGCCTACGGCCACACACAGTAAGACACTGAAGAGGAATTTTAATTCAGATGTTCTGACAACCAAATTGTTCCTGCTTTCATTATACCACAATCGAAGCCACGGATCTGTAAAGCTGCCTTTTGCCTAAGGAATCAATCTTCACCAGACAAAGACTAGGAGATGAGTGCGGCACCCATAAAACATCTCTCATATCCAAGACCATTCTGGGATACAATGTGTTGAATCATTTCATCATCTGGGAAGGAGTTGTCATCAGGTCAGAAATAAAGTACCCATTCAAATGCAAGGATAATTGGGAACTCCATAAAAAACTAGCATGGTATAATGCAAAAAGCACAGATTTGGAAACAAAATCTGAGTTCAAATTAAAGTATATGAAGGGATGTCATGTGAAGGGGGATTAAATTAATTTGTTTTGCCTTGAGGTAGCAGAATCAGATGGAAATTAAAAAGCATCAAATTCAGAATTAATTTCAGGAAAAAATTCCTAACAATTAGAGCTACCTGTAAGTGGAAAAGGCTGCCTTGAGACATGCTAGGTCCCCTCTCCTTTAATGTTTTCAAGCTGAAGCCAAACAATCCCCAGTCAGCTGTGCTCTGGTGGGGATTCCTTTAGAACATGGGTTAGATAAGATGCCTGCTGAGGTCCCTCCCAATTTTCAAAATTCATATTCATATTCAAATCCTAATTCTTCAACCAGCATGACCTTGGGCAATTTCTTCAACTACTTTGGGTCTAAGTTCCCATATCTATAAAATGAGGAGGTTGAGCTAGAAGATGTCAATAATCCCTTCCAACTCTAAATATTATGGACCTATGATCTCAAGGTATATAGAAGAGAGAAATACCTTCAAAATCATAAGAATGGTAAAAGGATCTTAAAGCTCAGTGAGTATTTTAAATTTAGTCAGTCAATAAACATTTATTAAGTGCTTACTATGTGTCAAGGACTATGTTAAGCACTGAGGATGCAAGAAGAACAAAAGATAGTTCCTGCCCTCAAAAAGTGGACAATTACTTAAGCTTCTCAAACAAAGTAACAGATGGTAGTTTTATAGATGCCCCCAAAAGATTCAAATTCCAACTAAAATTCCTAGAAATTTAGCCCTATTAAAGGTTCATGTTGTACAGCAGCAAGCACTAGAATAGGAATCAGAAGGTCAGCTCTGCTACTAGGCAACTCAATTAACCTCTCCAGAGGCCTCAGTCTAGTAGATAGGCTAAGTTGAGTTCCAGAGTAGATTGGAAAAGGATATCTGAAAGGCAGGCCTGAAATATCTACTCAAATCCTTTTCTCTAGGAAACCTGAGGATCCTAAAACTTCTGCTTAACAGTCCAAAATGAGGTCCTATTAAAATCACTGACATTCCTGCTTTTATTCATATTCCTGGGAAAAGTCACTTTTGGTGAAATGCTGCAAAAAATTGGTGAAATTCTGTTGTCAAATCTCCAAAAGTCTTATGATAGAAAATGCTATCCACATCCAAAGAAAAAACTATGGAGTTTGAATGCAGATTGCAGCATACTAC